TTGCCAATCAACACAAACAAAAAGCCCATTCAATTGAGAGGTATATACCAATTGATTATATCCTGGACCAAAAATTGAAAATAAACACAAGAGCATAAATCTTTGTTATTATATGGTTGGCAAAATTTCCATATACAGGAGGAAAGTGCATTTCCCTTTCAACAATTTTAACCATTGGCTTCCACTTTTGAAATAAATATCAATTTGATTGATTATTAGTCATTAAATTTTTTTCTAGAAATGCAGTAGAAGGCCACAATCAGGAGGGTTTTCTTGTTTCATAAGCCTTTTCCATCTGGGAAGTAGGTAGACTATCTGTCTTTTTCTCTTTTCCTCTCCCTTCCCCTCCCCTCACTATTCACTTTAACCCAAAATCTAACATGGCCACCTGATCACAAATGGTGAGCTTATAATGGCAGCAGGTGGATAGACCAAAGGTCTAAGCCTAAAATGCTGACTTGCCCTCTCTAACGAGATGCCTACATTTTGTTATTTTAACATTTAGTCAATATCTCAAAAAGACAAAGCATTAATAAGTGTCACATCAGGGGAGGCTGGCAGAGGGTTTCTACATGATGCATGATTCAACCCAAAATCAAAATGTGAATAGTAAAGAAAGGCAAGGTAAGGTGAGATTTGAAGATTTCTCTTATAAATACAAAACAGTATATAGTCACTAAAATATATTAGGTGACAACCCAAAGTACTCACGTTCACACTTCATCCTTGGCAAAGTTATGTTCAATTTCACATCCAATCGGTCATTTTCTGTTGGGTTATCTACAAACAACTCACTAACACTGAAGAAAAACAAGAAAAAATCCCCCTTGAAAATTAAAAGAAATTTATGCAAAGCAACATGTAAAAGCTGTAGTAATGGTAAACTGCAGCTAATTAAGGAAAATACCAGATAAAAGATCAAGGATACCTGATCTACTATCCCTTCAATGCATGCACTATTATCTTTTTTAAGCCAGATTTGAAATGCATTTTTTCTTTTAAAATCATTTTCAAGGATATACAAATCAATAATAAAGAAAAATCAAGACGACAAATTTCCATAAATAACAACTCAGTGAGGTATGACTTCAACTGTTTTACTGTCATCTAATTATTAATTGAAAAAATTAAAATTTTTCATTGGCACTTACATTTCTGTGTTGATAAAGCTGTAGAATTCTGATAACAACAAAAATACTATAAACAGACAACTGCATATTGAGACTGTTGAGTAAAAAATAGTAGAAGGGTTAGGCTGCTGCAGCTATAACAGCAGTAAAAAGAAACTATTCATCTTGAATACTCAACATAATTCATATTACTTTCAAGCTGTCAACACCTTGGCCACAGTCAAATTTTGAAGATAATCTACATGTACATTTCTGAATGTGCTCTGTTCAACTTTCTAGAAATTTCACACAATATTGTTCTCAGTTTTGTTCCTCCAATAAGTCTTTCTCTAGTAAGTTCATTTTAACTCAGCGTGCTTTTGAATTAGAACATCTTATCTCCAAGGGACACTAGTCAATGACTTAATCATCAACTGAAAAGATTGTGTACATATTTGTTCTTTCCAATGTAAAAAAACTAAGAAAATTGTGCCACTGTACAGTATATTCCAAATGAGTTGTTGATATTTAACATAAGAAGAGAGATCTGACAGCATGAGACCTAAATATTTTCATTTGTTTCTGAATACATACAGTACATTGATAGTGCAAATGCGCAAAGAGAGTCGTGTTAAAGTGTAACTCATGATGACATTCCTTAGCATAATTCTTGAAACAGTTCCATTTCAGACCCCCTCCCCTCCCCATCTATGTTGGTTACAAGAAACTTGTGGGCCTTGCAGAAAATTTAACAAAGAGAAGGGAGCTGAGTATTCTAGTATGAGTATTGGAAAAAAAAACTTACTGACTGCTCCTGTCAATGTGGGTTCTGTTAAATCCTTGGGAACTTTTCTATAAACATCAAACCTGTAAGAAACAAAAACACCAGCTAGGAAATAACACACTGTTTCATGTACATGTGACCTTCCTGTAACACCTGGCTTAGAGGACCCTCTTCTTGGCCCTGAAGACAAACTAACCAAATTTTTCTTGCCTTTATTTTCGGACCCCACATGACTGCTAAAGGGCTCTTGGCTTTAAAGCTTTCATTATAAAATATTTACATTTGTATTTATGTACTTCTGATTAAATATGACTGTCAAACCTTAAAACAAAGAGAAAATAGGACACTAAGAATTTTATTCAAAATCATTTCCGAATGTAATAAGCTGAGAATGATTTATGTTTATTTCATTCAAAATAAGTACTAAACAAAGCCCTTGCCTGTCTAATTTTAAGATTGCAAATATAGCACAGTACTGGCCAAATTACTCTGTTCTTCTTTTTTTCTGAGGGAATCCTCATATTCGACGCGGAAGCTTTGAAAATGGACTTACAATAAGGTAGACAAACCATCTTTAATCTTTTATAATAAATTAATATCAAATATTCTGAATTAAATTTTTTATGTCTCAAATAACTGAATGTTAAAATGAGGAAAACCAGGTCAATGGAATCAGATATCCTGTTTCTGTGTCTGACGCAAGGCCAGTTTAGCTTCCCGATTAATTTTGAGGGTACACGGTCCTGGTTTTCTTTCCTCGGCCGCCAAAAGTACACCAGCAAACGTGTTTTGACACGTTTGCATCACTTTATAGTTGTGGAGAATTTTTTATTTTACCAATCGAAACTAACTAGTATACAGATCAAGCTTATCACTCATTAGAACTTCTTACCTTCTAACATCAAACTGCATATTTCCCCGGCGAAATTAGACCACTCAATCGTAAAAATCGCCACACACGGAACCGTGAACGACGGCTAATCGATAATATTTACCCCAGTGGCAATTTTTTTGCCGCCATTTATAATTTTCTACGTGGTGAATATTGATTGGCTGAAAACATATACTTACCAACCTTCCGCTCTTGCGCGCTTGAAATGATAGTATTTGGCTTGGTAACTAGTGCTCTTCGTTTGCGTGGCAAGCCGCCGAAAAAAAAATTCTTATCATTTAATTTTCCGCAATAAGAGGAAGAGTATGAGACTATTATAGTGAATATTTTCATTCGATGAAAAATATTTTTTTTAGTAGAAAAATATTTCATTCGATTGATAAAATCACGTGGCAGGCTAAGGACTGGTCAAACAGCACAGACATGACGACGGAAGAGTTCGGGAGAGAAGACCGAAGAGTCGACTGAGGTTACGTTAGTTTTTCACAGCCGTTTCCCATCAGCTTGACATGTGATAGTAAAATGGTTCGAAGGTTAACTCGGATTAGATCAAGCCACTGTACTCACACATGTCAAGCTGATGAGCAATAGCTGGGAAAACCTAACAAAGCACCGGTCGACTCTTTGGTGTGCTCTTCCGTTGTCATGTTTTGCTTAGCGACCAGGCCTAAGCCAAGCACTTATAAAATTTTATAGAATAAGGATATTTTTTAACGCATGAATAAATTTTTTAGCGAATAAGAATATATTTTTATTAAATTTTGCTACATTTCGGCCACGATGACATGCCCCTAACTCCACAAAAGCGGTTCTAGAAATTTGTAAATGCATTATTAATTCTCCACACACAAGTGACTGGCAGTAATTGAACTAGATAAAATTAAAATTTCAGTGTGGGAAAATACCGTAACAAGGCTTTTTAAAGATACTTTTGGTAACAAACAGTTCCTGCGGGATTTTTTTCGAAGTATTTAAAAATCTCGGGAATAGTTTCATTCACTGAAAATGCAAAGAAAACATTTTCTCGATGATGCCCGCACCGGCATTCGTCCTTTGACAAATCGTGTAATCGTCAAGAAACTTGAGACAGTTCAGGACAAGAGTGAGGAGTCAGTCAATCTTTCAATTCTTTCTCTGATAGAAAAGTCGCGATAATGGTCCCCAATAAAAGCCTTTAAAGAAGACTCCTTCATTGGTTTCCAAGGTTTCTGGTCTACGTTTTCAAGCATGCTGTCCAGAAACGCTGGATGCTGAGTGAGTTCTCACTATATCGTAGGAGGCTGTTTAGCTCAGAAGATGCCCAAAAAACGTTGACATCGAGAGCTATTTCTGGTGTGCAGCTGCCTATCATAGACTATCAGCGGATGCCATAACCCTTGACGCTTTAACTAAAGCGGAATAAGAAAGAAAATGTTAATTCCGAGAAATTCGAGACAAATGCCACAATGTCCATCCTTTGTGACGGTTACTTTACTTAAAGAAAAGTTGAACATTGGTTGCTCTCAAGAGATTCCATCGTGATCTCTTGTTGCTCTTGATAATTAATGTCAAATAGATGGTCTTTGCACTGCGAAAAATTATAAATGGTCAATGGCAATTACAATACAAGCAATAGTAGGATTTTCCTCATAATTTATTCAAACATATTTGGGCGCCATTCATCTGTGTTTGGTCAAGTACCTTATAATATATGATTAATATAACTTACATCTTTTCAAATTTACATCTTCAAATTTTTAAATTCATAAATAAATATATCGTACACATCTTTCAAGTATTTCTTCTTTTAAGTCTGTTTTTGACAAAATTCGGCTTACTTATATTCTTGCCACCATAAAGTATAAGCCTGTTTTATTTTATCTACTACCTGGGTAATATGAAACAAACTGTTTTTTCATTAATGCATAAGTACAAAAATATTCTTCATCAAAGTGAAAGAGAAAACGGTTTATTATTTTGTTTAATATTATTCTTTCCACTTCAATTTCGTCCTAGGCTTTATTTTTTAAAGCGTACAGTGACGACAATTTTACCACATGCAATTCACGAGATAAACTATTGTGTAAACCATAAATAATTAGACTGTGGAGAAAACGATGCGTCCTGTGAGAAAAGAGCATAACGGTTTTTTTTTGGCTGATATAATGGATATGGGTACATTTAATATAATTCAGATACACTCTCCATTTGTTCTATACAAAAATCAGATTTAGTTGAACCAAAGAATTTGTCACTTTTGACTTCTTGCCTCTAATGCTACTGAGCTACATGGGTGAAGTCACGAGCCCAGGTGAATTCTGTTTGTTACCAGAGGTAGTCATTTCGGATCCACATGGCAACGGAGAAAAACTGAAAAATCCAAAGGGAGTGGTGGGTGTGTGTGTGCTCGATACTCTATTTGTAAGCTGAGTCTCTGATTCCCAGTTAAGCAGTTGCCCCATGAAGTTAAAGTTTGGTGATATAACTGAACGGCGCTTCTTAACGTACTCATAAGCTTCGTCCAACCTGAGTTGATGTCTACTTATAAGATAGGCAAGGCAAATAGTGGCTGATCTTGAGATCCCAGCCTGGCAATGTACTAGTACCCGTCCTTTCGATTTCTTCACTGAATCTGAAATGAGAGGACAAAAGGGAGAACGGTGAATTAAAATACATTTAAAGACTAGACGAGCTAAGTCTTAATGCATTGATTGAAGGAAATCTTCTTATGAATAACATTGATTGAAGGAAATCTTACCACGGATATTGGCTGTCAATAATTTCATTATTCAAAAGCTTATCAATTGACAAGCTCCGAGATCGCTTTAAGAGATCGATTTTTTATATTGTCTTAATATAAAGGAAGTTCCAGTGATTCTTGTTTTGACCTCTAAAAGACCAGCTCGAACTTTCAGGAGCATGTTAATATTTGTTTCATAAATTTTTTTTGGGAAAGCGTGGATCTTAGAGCCATGAAGTTTCTTTTTATCGATTATACTCACTTTGCGTTTTAAAGAATCTCTTACCTATAAACATCGCTGCCTCCTCAAACCATCGGCCGATATCTGCGGTGTAAGTATCGTCAACCGGAATAGACTTGTAGTCAAATGTATCCTCAAAAAAGTTCGGAATATTACTTGAAACATTGACTATGGCAGTAATACCCAAGTGTTGAAGGAGCTCCTTTTGAGACGAGTGGAATTCGCTTCCAAGATACAGATGTGGTAAGATTTCAACAGGCTCATTTGGCTTGGCTGACACATTTGGGCGCGACTCGGCATAATCCCTGACAGGATCGATCTCGTTTCTCGGGCTGAATCTTTTAAAATCTTTCGTTTTGAGCTTTAATCCGAGAGGACTGGAGCATGCTTGTGATGCCGCATGGGGATTTGCAAAGTAGCACATGGAGGGGAAAGACGACGCGAATTTTTCAAATCCTCCTACGAAAAAAAAGGGAAGACAGCAGTCAATAAAATTGGTGCTATAGAAAGAGATCAAAATTTTTTAATGAAATAAAATTAGTTTGACCTGAAGATGAAAATCAAGTAAAGCAATGATCCTCGTAGGTAAGCTGCAATTTAAGCAATTTCTGTCGAAGCCTAAATTTTATCAGGCTCCTTTCAGTCTGTTACTGCCTGAATTGCAGCTCATTGCTTTACTCAATATTGTAAACATTATAAAACATGCTAGGAATCACGAACACAATAAAGTGACGATTCTTCATGCATCGATGACGTTTCTTCGTGTAATTCTCCATCAACGGTCGTCCTAGGGATTAGACCAAATCAATCTTCACCGAAAGCGGTGACGGTGAAATATCCTCTATCTGCAAATTAGGAGGCCGAACATGACGCACTATCTAGACAGAAAACGTTAAGTTTAGAGTCTAAGAAGATTTGAAAATGTGCTCGTCAGGACTGAAAGATCTGGTATTCGCCTACATTATTTAACCACAGAAAAAACTTGGGAAGGAAAAGAAATCAGCTGAGTGTACTGAGTGTACCGTCACAGCTCGTCAAAGAAAACATGTTTGTGCGTGCTTTTAAATACTTTTGAACATCAAATTTTAACTGAAGGAGATACTAACCAATAAGCCCAACATTGCAAGGAAAAATTACCCATTCTATAAAGGAAAACCGCAATGATGTTCGACCTCTTTATCACAAACTCGATTTAAGACTGTTTTCAATTCATAATTTTTTCTATAGGGACCAGCGAGTCACTCTGCTAGTCATACGTGATGTCATTACGTTCATTCATTTACTTTTATTTCAATAACAAAGAAACTCGCTCATTCATGAATTCATGATGAGCAGCACACGTAAACAAGTAGTACACATTAATGACGCTTCGCCTTTGTAGTGGTTCATCATCACAACATTCCCTCGCTTTCATTCAAGCGCGAAATAATCGATATTTCCACTTCCATCGCCCTTCAGTGGGATTGTTCAAAAATAAATAACTCTTTTTGACCTCTCAACCTAAACACCAAGAGCAACAATCAAGTGATAACAGCACATTGACTTTAGGAACACGTGGCTGGCCTAACAATAGTTATCAGAGGCCTTTCAACTGAGTTACAAGAAAGTTCTGAACTATACGCTGACTTAACTTACCTTTAATGAAATATAGAGTCTTGTCTACTCTCTCTCTTCTCAAAAGCATGTGGAGTATCTTCATCGTATTGTCCTTCTCCAAGTCAATCCAATCCTGAGTTCCTTCCCCGTACAAAATTAAAGTCTCTGCGTCCGCAACCCTTCGTTTCAACTCAGGAGATTTGAGTAGACAATCTAACGTTGATGATCCACGATGAAATCTTCTTTTTAAGATAGGAGGGCAGTGAACGTTAAGCGATCCTTTGATGTGGGCGACGTTAAATGATAAGAAGGAACGACAGTCAATAACTATACATTTCTGACTCAGAGAACTGGTCATGTTTACAAAAGTGAGTGGGGCAAGGGGCCATACAGAGTCATTCTCATCCATTGCAACCATACTCTTTGACGCCGCAATGATTGATTAATAAGCTCCTTAATTCTTCTTTCCTGAAATCAAACCAGATACGAACTGTTACTTGACGATGAAAATCTTACTGATGTTTTCCCTTGCGGGGCTTCAGTATCACATGAACCTTTTTCAGGTTCACGCTTTATATTCTCTCAATTCCGCGCACCCTGTTCCCGAATTGCTAATTGCTATTTTTAACCCAGGTGACGTCATTTCAAGGCGTTTTGTTAACGTCGTGTCGCGCCTCACGAGTATTGTCTAAGCCTATTATATATCGTCTTTAGTCGAAGAAACCAATACAATGCTGACAGGTAAACAATACCAAAACAATAGTTATTTCATTCCAGTGATGTCAGAAATGTTATTAGGGTCTCAGGAAATTGCAAAGATCTACGTATGCCAATTTTTTTACCCAACTGGTGTTTTGATTGAAGAGGAGCAGGAGAGATTAAGAGGGTGATTCTGTGTTTTTCATCTAGTCCAATTGATACTTGAATATTCTCTCTCTGACTCGGGGTAAGGTGAAAAAAATCGTTAATTGTAAGACAAAATTATTTGGAAGGAGGTATGCCTGATGACGTCTTCCACCAAACCTTTTCTCATCGCTATCGCATTTCACGTCCAAACTCATTTGAATTTTGTTATCACATTTCAGGTCCAAACATGGCTGTTAAAAACAAAACAAACCAGTATTTTAACGAATGTCATGTCTTTTCATATCAGGAGCATTTGTAAAGCCACAATAATCCGCTTTGCGAATCAAAGAGCCATTTGAGTGAACTTGAAGAAAACTGATCAGTGTCACCATTTCTTAATTCGAAAAGGCGAAAAGAAGAAAAGGTGAAAACGAGAAAACAGTTTAATGCGAGAATGTTATTTGAACCAAGAATACGTAGAAATCATACACCACTTCAAATATTCTACTAACCACCAAGCCTCGCCCTAATTCCAGACAACATAGTTTGGTGGGAAACTATATTTGTAACCGGCTGTGCATGTCCGCCCAACGCGTTCCGGATAATATTTGATTTGTTTTCTTAAATTTCACTTGCGATTTCCCCGGACGGCAAACACCGGCAAATAAGAACATTTTGATCGCAATTAATTAATGAGCCAACTGAGAGTCACTGATTCCTACTTACTCATCGATGTGGAAGGTTCCATCCTAGAAAACATGTTTTTCTTACAGTTTGCACGCAGCTTCAACCAGTTTTAAAACAGACACTTGAGCGAACCCTTGTCAACATCGCGTGACTGATTCAAGGATATGGTTCACTAGCTGTTACACCCCACTTCCGATCAAGCCAAAAATATTTCTAACATCAATTCATGCCAGCAATTTCTGTCGATTCCTTATAGATTTTACACAAAGGATGATATCACTGCAGAAACGAGAGTCCATATACGGCTTTTAACAAACAACACACTTTCTCAGTCGGTTTTTCTAAGGATTCCTCTCAGTCGAAAGTTCAGTATGTCATAAGTAAAATTGAATATCTGTTCGCGCACTGATTACAGGTCAATGTCTGTGGCTCGTAAAGTGAAAACTGATATTGCTTTTGTTTTTAGTATGAAACTTTAACGCAAATAGCGGACTCATTCATTAATTAATTATGTCATTCATAAACTGGGAGCAGTTCTCGTGGACAGAACTTCGCAAACTCCTCTTGTGTCACAGCAAATAAAGTACACTTGAGCTTTTTCGCCGCTCGTCTCAAAACAAAATATTAACAGTCCTGAAATTAACTGAACAACAGCATTTCTCCCGGTAAATGGGACGGTAAATCTCTTAGTCCTCGGCAAAAACTGATTCGAATATGGTTGGTGATTTGAACCTGCACGAGATCGATCTGCTTTCTGCAGATCACAACTGAAATGTGGCACGTAATTCGGGATAGTTTCTTCTTTCGATGGGTGCTGTGAGAACCACCGAGGGACCAGAAGTTTTTGGATCTTGAACAAAAGTTTCTTCTTCTCCGCTGCGTAAGACGTTAGAGCTGGTCTATGAGTATAAATAATCTGATTAGGGGCATTTAATATCTTTATTTTTGTCACACCTTGCATGACAGTTGCGACGATTTCAACAAAAATTTAGACCTCAAGGGCGCACTAGACAAATTTTTGTTTATTTTGTGAAAAAAAAAATCTGTCACCGGTTTAGCCAGACGAGAGCGCCCAGTAATTTTTTTATCCTATCAAATTTTGTCAAGCCTCACCAATCTTCAGAGGCGCCTTCGTCCTGCCTCGGAGCTGGACAAATTTTCGTCTGCGTGAAAACTGACAGATTTTCAATTTACAAGCCACAATTTAAAGAAATACTTCAATCAAGAAAATTTGATTTTGCTTCAAGCAGAAGGCCGCCAAAATATTTAATATTTACGCGGCAATCAAACAGTCAAGATGGAACTTGCGCCCGGGACCTTGGCAAGTTTTTACTCGCTTTTGCCACCGTAGATCACTGAATTAAAAAAATTAGAAAGCTGAGGAAGGACTCAATTGGCCCCCTGGTCATTAGGGATGCATTTTGCAACAAGAGGCATTTGGTGGGAAGAAAAAAAAACAAAAAAAGAAAGAAAGAAAGAGCCAAACACTCCAAATTGGGTGCAGGCTTAGACCAAATACCGGAATTCGAATAAGTCTGTGAGAAAATTGTTCAATTTAGAAAGGCAAATCAATAAGGTCACCTTACCACCAAAGAGGACTACTTTTCCTGGATTGAGTGTTACAAATCCAGCTTTGTTTCGAAAAAAATACCCGTTTTTGACGATTTTTCACCAAAAACAATTAGGTCTAGCTATACTTACTACTGTAATAAATTTCCATGCAAATTCAATTTATATTTTCTTCACGAAAACGAATGGTACATGCATGTGCCTGTTTGTACAAGTTTAACGTAATTTCCTATGGCAAAGCTACCATCTGAGCAGACTGAAGTAGACTTCCGGCTGTTTAGTCTGTGCACAAAGATAAACTTTGTCCTTAGATGTTTTCAATTTGACCTAAGGCACAGCTGCATTTCATTACGATTCGATTTGTTTGCGAACCTATGGGATTTATCGGATCATCTAGTAATTGCTTACATAAGGAGAAATATGTATCTATCAGTTCCGTTGTGGAACTAATCCAAGCCCTTATGACCACAAACTTAGCTAGAAATACACAACCACATAAAAATAATTGGTGGTGCAACAGCACCTCTTGCTAACTTAATTGTCAAGAGTACATTCAATGATTAACGTACATCATCGTTTTTAAGGCTCAGTTCTCGAGAGGAGTTGCATCCGTTGAAGCTAAAAATAGTTTTTGATGGTAGGTGCAGTAGTCTGCAGTTGTTAGCTGAGCGAACATTAGAATTTCCGAAAGCTAAAGGCTTGGTTATTTTTCCGCAGCAGGTGCGATTCAAACGTCCTCTGAAAAAAAGGCAGAGCTTTCTAAAGAGGGAGTACACATATCCCTTGAGTCATTTAGATTTTAAAATGGAGTAAGTCAATTAGTCCTATTCAGTGTCCAAATACCGACCGAGTGGATTTGAAATTTTAACAAGTCCTAGCTGTAACTCTTCTGTCAAAAGAATCGTTTTGATTCTGAAAAGAGCAGTTTTTACTTATTGCAATTTATTACTTTGGATACATTACAATTGGAAAGGCAAGATTGCTGAATGACCTTGAAAAAAGAGTTAGGTTTTGTTCAACCTACAATGGAAACGTAGTAAATAACATAATTATGATATGATGACATTGAACACATTGCGGTGTTTAATCGTCTACGGATCCTCGCCGCTGTAATATGCTAGAAAACATTCTGATAGCGTTATGCTTACTAGTGGCGTAACTATTGGATACAGGCTTCAGAATTTATAAGTCGCTTTATTGTTACAGCACCGTTTCGTATGGGTGACCGTCAACCACATTGATCAGTTAACATTACCCAATTCATAACATACTCTCTTCCATCGTTTCTTATAACCGTAACGTTAGTTCGATTGGTGTATCGAGGTCCACCCAATATCTTACCGCTGATGTAGAATGGAGAGAGTGCACTGAACAGTCAGTAGCAAATAACACAACAAAATCTGGAACCAGTGAAACATTCCCGCGTTTTTAGCTGTCTTATTTACGACCATGCATTCATTCATTCATTCATTTACTTGTAACACGTGGGAGCCCAATCCAAGCCTGTTTCCATGTTATGCTTCATAATATGAACTCAGAAAAACAAGAGAGACCAAGTAATGTTTTAGCCTTCCAATAATTTCACTGAATCCTACGAATAACCAGTTTTTAATCTCTGTTCTGTTAGAGAGCCACTTGAATACGTATTTGAATCTTTTCGCTTAGCTTCTCAAAGAATTAGAGACAATTCGTACCGATAGTTTCTCAAATGTAAGTCTATAAGTGTTGTAAGAATATTGCAAAAGAAGCGCTCATTTGACCACTAAGTGACAAGACTTGACAGCTGTATGAAAACTTACCTTTCCGCTCTAGATACTCAAATCACCAAACATCATATCCCTTGTGTAGACTGAGGTTCACGCATACACCAAACTGGGACTACAACTAATCACCGGAAGTAGATTTAGCGACTGACCGATACCAGCACAGAGGGAACAAAAGATCACAGGTCCTATCATAAATCACACTGTCCTAATATATTATTCAAGCATTTCAGACTTCAAGGTTTTCAGAGATAATATTTAAAGAAGACTCTTTACCTCTGGGTGTTATTTGATGTTTATACATTTTTCTGTGAAATTTAGGCCGTAATGTACTTGTTGGTTCACAAAGAGGCTGTTTTTAATGACTTCATTTTGGAATTTGGATCAACAAGCTATTGGCTGGTACCCGCTGTATAAGTCAAAGAAAGAAGATCATTTGGTGTAAGAATAGCTAACCAGTTATAACATTAGAACTAAAAGGAGGACTATGATAAATATAGATCTGATGATATTCTTTTTAATCTCTATAATAATTTTTGCATCCGGTTTGGAGCACAAGCAGTGATAGTGTTGATAATTTGGCGCTGGAGTTTCACGAACCGGTAATTTGCAGGTATCTCCAGATGTTCCTTCATTTCAAAAGCAACGTTGATTATTCAGTGACTATTGGCCAAAGGAGATAGCAATAACAGTTCTCAAGTCAGGCCTCCAAAATCGTGACCCACTCTGTTCTGCACAGAATACCTCCTTTGTTTCCTCTAGGCCCACGCTACCGCCATGCTTTGGTTAATTGGCTTTTCCTTTGAAGCGGGGGAGGGGGGGCGGCTATGTAACGCAAACTGTGGAACTTTTGATGTTTTAAGGGGGCAGAAATTTAACTACAAGTCTGAACGCATAAAGGCACAGTTCAGTGATTTCCCGGGAACTTTGTGCCGGCCGCGGTCGGGCGTCAAACATGGCGGGAAAAACAGCCTTGTTGAAACGTAAAATAACTGTCTCCACAAACTTGGATCAAAATTATCAAAACTATTTCTTCCCATTGACATAGCTTTTGCTACTAGTATAGCTGCTCTGCAAGGTGATAAGAAGTCGCAAATGCTGTTGTTAATTGCGACTACTCAGTATGGTTTCTTCCCCCCCCCCCTAAACTTCGAGTTGCAAGCGGTCTGCTTGTACCATGTGTTGAGGGCTAACACAACAATCAAATGTCTGCGCACATGCGAACGAACGAATCATAACCAAGTTGCTCTACACGAGCTACAAACAACCACACAAGCCAATAAGTCACAATGTTTTAAATACGTTGACTTGCATAATGTCGCTTCATTAACTGTAACCTCAACGGCAGAATTTATTTTAAAGTAAATATAAAATATGGGGAAACCAAAGTTTAAATGAAGGTGACACAACATTCATGGAAATTTAAAGCACTGCAAACATTATTTCTTGCGAATTCAATCATTTGAATTCAATTATCACTGATGTAAAATCAAAGTTCAGTCTAATCAAAGTTTATCTTAGAAACCAACCTGCGAGCATGGCGGGTTTAGATAGGACTGGAAAAGGAGAAAGTTCAATTCGAGCTCAAAATGCGATCGTTGTCATAGGGAAATTCCCCTTCCCCTTCTTTCCCAGCCTTTAGCAGTCGAACTGAGTTAACCACCCTTCCCGTCTAGAATTAAATACTCCCACTCTCTCTATTCCGTACTATCCCTCCGTCTCGTAGAGACAATGTCCCTGCTTTCTCCAAATGATTTTAAAGAGGAAATATATTCAATAATATTATTTTAAGAAGTGGCGAAACCCATTCGACCTATTAAATTAACGTCGGAAAAACCGTAACCGACTTCTTCTCCGAACTAACGCCTCAATGTCGTCCAAATCCTGTTCACGTATATGTTCGTACGTTGTCTCTAGTTGTTTCCCCCTTTGTTCGTTTGCTTTAAGGAAGGCGCTTGCTTCATCTGCAACAGAAACAAAATAATTTATCTTCTTTTCACTACTGGCACTGATTACTGGCTACTCTAGAATAGAAACTCAACATTCGAATTGGACCTTAACGCTAGTTAAGTATAGACTTCAAGCCAAATTTTCCAGCCCTCGATTCCACCCTCATTAAAAGATAGGAACATAAAAATGTTTTTGATTTTGTTTACACTGACAACATTACAATCCTTCTTTTTTAAGCGGTCAATTATCAGTGAAAACCACTGTGCTAAACATAATCTTGCGGTAAATGACCATTGAACTGGTCTGTGCACAGGTGACTTTTTGTGAAGGGTTTAAGGACACAAGTTTGGGCGGGATGGTCTGAAGAAATTCTTTTAGAAGTTCATTTGAATACTTTAGTCGCACGATTTTGACTGCGAAAGAAAAGAATGAAATTTGATAAAGAAATGGCAAGAAAATAAGCTATTTTTTAATGGCTGCCCCCACTCCTTTCAAGGCAGCTCGTGGGCCGATTTACATAACAAAAGCTGAGAAAGTAAAGCAAAGAAATACTTTCTTACTTGATTGTCGTCCTCTGAAGAGTATGTCGTTGAGCGCAAATTCATTCACCGGCGCTGGGGTCACAGGCTTTTGAGGTGAATTTTTACTCGTTGTCTTAATCGTTTGTGGCTCGGGCCTTGTTTGCCTTGACACAGTGTTTGGCATTTTTTCCTCCGATTCAGTAGTCGGACTTTTTCCAGTATCTGTCCGTGGAGGACTTATTTCGGCGCATTGAACGAGACAGTTCAAAGCAAGTATAAATGCAATACACCACAACATTTGGCTAGAAGTTGACATAGAGAAATAGTGTATCAGAGAAAGTGAAGAGATTCAAATTATCATGAATATCTTTAGACCACCAGGCTTGTCTCCTGTTTGTTGAACATTAAGTGGGTCTAAATCTTCCCTGAAATTATGTTATTGGGCCGGTAATTGAGAGAATCCACGTAAGGTTTCTATGTATCAAATAACTCAATAATATACCAAGACAAATTCACAATAAACGGTCTTACTTACTCTCAGTTGTTGATTTCCGTTTTATCATTTCCATTTAACTATTAACTTATTAGAGTCACTAACAGATAACAATAGTGGCTACCGCAAAAAAAGGGAAAACTTACTTTATGGTTGAGATAGATTCTTTTGCGTCCCTGAAGTACTTAGTAACGGTGAACCATGCTGGCTTCAATTAATCAACACAAAATCTATGGTGGGATGATGGGCAGTAGCTGTGAGGACTGTTTGGCTTTCTTGACGCCGCTGTGATAGGACACACTGGTTTGATGCAGCAGATAGTAAATGGCTGCCGATTGAACAAATGCTAACACTTCTAAAGCCTATGATTCTTAGAAGTGCTAAGAAGGCAGAGATTGATTGTTGCGATGGATACCTGAAACGAAAAGGTATTTTAGCCGCGACAAGTCGACCGTAAAAAGGACAAAAAAGTTATTAATTCTCACAAGAAGAGAAATAATTGCACAACTTTTTGCTAAACTGCTACGAGTGTGATAAAAATTCAAGTTTTCATCACACGATGCGTCAAATAAAGTTGATAAAACTTGTCCTGTTTTCATACAATACATGTGATATTTTCGACCGTTGTCCGCAAGATCTGAACCACCTTACGAAGAACGACAAAGAGCTTCATTAGGCCGAGAGGAGTATTTTGTAATTAATTAGACGCTTGTTTGTTTGAATGTAGGAGACTAAGTTTTCCTGCGATTCCCTTTGGATACTTTATCAACAATATCATAATAAAAGGCTTTTCAATAAAGGAAAGTCAATGTAAACAAACCGAATGGCGGATTCAATTTGTCATGCCGGCTACTTAAACTTGCATATATTGAAATGAATAAGAGTTTCAGAATGTTCTCCTATTAAAAAGAGTCTTCAACTCCACGACTCTCAGGGCAAGTGCTCGCAGCTGACTACATATCCTCGTTATTTCAACTATGTTTTGTTTTGATTTGCGACCATATCTTACTTTCATTCTATCACTGTAAAATCAAGCAGCAAAACACGGTGTGGCTGAATAGTTGCGAAATAACTCAGAAGCTGATTGAAAACATCACGAGGCAGAAATAATATATTTCTCGACCAGTCAGCAAAAACTTAAGCGACCACTTCTGGCTCAAAAAAATTTCTGATGCCGCTCGTTTCCTCATTGCCTACGAAAGTGTTCAATGTTTGTGTCGGAGATGTTTTAAGGCTAACTGAGTATGATTAAATCCTTCAGCTCGAATTTATCTTTTATAGACTTACCTGTAAAGACGCCCCTTCGTTTTCTTCTCGTAGTGCAGAGTTTTTAGCTCTTTAATTCATTAGGAAATCTCTACTGCTACTAGAGTATGTTTCTCTCAACCGTAACACGCAAGCACAGGGATAAAAGTTGACAAATAATGAGGTCAATTTATGCATGTATGGTGATGTTCACGTGCTTCTAACGAGCCCTTTTTCTTGAAAAGTAAATATTTGTCTTAATAGGAAAACAGCTACAGTGCCAAATTGCGGACTTTTGTTCCCTACCCCTAGCAACCTACGAGAGAGGAAGGAATTATCCCTTAAATTGCTTTCAAATTGATTTTTTTGTGCATTCACTGAAGCAGTTCGTTTGGAATTCTTATATAGTAATTAATAAAAAGGCATCAACTCGGTCTCTTTTTTTCAGGGAAACGTAAAAAACACAAATGATTTTAAATTTGGAATGCCATGAACTGGAAATTTAACAATAGGAACCCATAAGTAATGAAAATGGCGCGCAAAGCAAGCGCTATAATTAAAGAGGTTTGAAAGGGATTTTTTAGAACACATGCCGTATTTGCTCGAGCACTTATTCAAACTTTCGGCTTAAAGGAGGAGCGGTTACCGGGAGGAGGGAGCTTAATCCTGGGGGGGGGGGGGGG